TATATATATATATATATATATATATATATATATATATATATATATATATATATATAATTAAACTATTTTAACAAAAATGAAAGCAAATAAAACCGTAAGCAAATGAAAGCAGGTGAAACATACCGTGTGTGATATTGAAAGGATGATCACATGCACGCAGTTAACTTTAGGCAATTTAATAATCTGTTCAAAGTGAAAGCAACCGGTGCTGCTTACAAAAAGACACAATTTAAGCTCTTAAAAGCATCAGGACTGTGGATGCATGTTCATCACTTTTTGTCTAGTTTATTTTTTAAAAAAAGAACCGATGACAGTTGCGTTTCCAGAACCTGTTCCAGACACGGTTGTTTCACGATTCGGTAGCGCGCACGCGTTAAGCAGTCACGCGCATCACATCAGCTGTTAGCGCGAGTGATGATCATCCTCTCATTCGGTATTATTCACTTGCTTTCTTCTGCTCGCGTGATCACAATTATTTAACTTCTCGATTCTAAGATCACATTTGCACTCATATTGGGTCATCCTTATATTGTCGAACCCTGCTTTTAGGAAAACTACAATTTAAAAATTATTTTTAACCAGCCAAAGTGGCTAGTGGGATTGTCTGTCTAATCCACCAGAGATGAAATCTACCCGCATTTGGCAGGTCGGCGGGTGTTAATGTAAAGCCCTGATCACCACATAGCATATTGTGTAGTGATCATTTATGCTTAAATCATACTGAAATCATAATCCTGAAATACTAATTGGTATGGCAGTAGGTTTTCTGTTTTCCTATATTGAGCGTATTTGCTGGTGTTTTGCGTTTACGCCAGAGTTGCATGCGATGCGAATATTCAAGTAGCTCAAACTCGCACTCATTCTGGGAACAAAGAGGTGGGAACAGGCTAACATTTACAACTTTAATCATATAATAAATAAGGGCGGGAGGAAAAATCAGTATTATTTTGTTGTGCTTCCTGTTGGGATGCGACGATTAACTGGTTTCACTATTAACAGATTTGATTCGTCACGGGTAATTAATCGTAACGGCTTCTCAACACCGTGTTTTTACACAGAACAAAACTGCAGCAACTAAACAAAGTTATGCTAACTGTGAGCTAGATTGTACACCGAGACTAATAACCGCGCACACTGGACTAACTATGACTGAGGCTATTAATTAAGGCAAGCTCGTTCAAGTTTGTTATTTCCAATGGAGGGACGCGCACGCAATGCAACACGCTCATGCTTTCAGGCGCACCTAGTTGAGATGATGGGGGAGTTTTTTAATTGCAGGAACTGCATACGGCTGAAGTGTGGGGAAGAAGCAATGGAAAGTACACAGGTTTGAGAACCCACTTAAACTCATTTACAAATAATGGCGCCGATGAGAGTGATCATGTGGCGGATTTGCCAGCCGGGATTAATCAAGAGTTTTTGCAGAGAGTGCTGAAAGACTCTAAGGCCGTACTCACACTATGTACAGTTGTCTTGAACCGGGCCAAAGCACGCTTGTCCTCCCTCCCGTCTCCCCCGACGGCCCGCACTCGCATACAATCCGGCCTGTGCACGCTTACATTATCGCTAAGGGTGTCACGATCCTCCAAATCCTCGATTCGATTACATTTTCGATTCTAAAGGCACGATTTGATTTTTGATTATGAATAATTAATTAATTTATGACCAATTAATTATTTGTAGCCTACCGTTGAAACTACCTGACCTGCATGGTCTTTGCTTTACCCATAAATCCAAAATGCTTGCACACCGGCGACTTCATTGAAAGAGGAGAGGGTTTAAGTTCTGTCGACGGGTCTCCTGCTTCTGCAGTTTAACAAGCACTTCAACAAGCCTGTTTTTTCCCGCTTGACAAGCCAAGCTGATTTGACATGGGGGCGTGGCAGCATCGACGATTCTATTTTTTGATTCGATAATCAAAATTGAGCATAAATTTCGATCGATTTCGATTAAAAATCGTGACACCCCTAGTTATCGCTGCTGCGCTGTTCAGTGAGCGCTCTCGCTCAGCAGCACAGTGGATATTTCTCTAGTTATATCATTTAAATTGTATGATATGAAGTGAAATGCAGTCAAATATTTCGCCAAACAGTCCTTAGGGATGCGGTGACATGCAGTCAGATATTTCGCGGAATAGATCCGCCACTTTTGACGCTCATAAACAGTCATAAAGCCCTCGTGCTGCAGGAATGAGGAGGTTTGCTGAAGGTGCGCAGCTGTCGTGCAGTGAGGAGTTCTCGTCTTTAATAAACTACGGCGGTGTGCGTTCACTGAACAGTAAGAATGATTAATAAATCCATATGAAACAGCCCCTTAAAAGTCACGTCTCGCTTTCAGATTTCGGCCCAAGTTAACCAAGTTAACCGCGCTCAGGCCCACCTCTTCCAACCGGACCAGGGCCGGCCAAGTGAACTGTTCTTGAAC